CAAATAAGCCATTCTTTTGAGTACAGACACACTCCTACAGCCCCAGAGTATGATTTGCTAATTACGGGCGGACATTAGACAGCGGACATCCAGGACTTCCACAACGTCTACATAACTGGCTACCAGGCAAAAAGACAATGTGTATCCAAGAACAAGTGTCACAGGCACTGTGGGGACATTACGGGCAAGCAGGCAAGGGGATGGGACAACACATTATAGGCACTTGAGGCTCTGAGGGGGACAAGCACCAGCCATACCATTTGAGTCAAAGCCACCTGGGCAAATAGTGAAACTACACTGCGTGTGTCACCACAGTTGGCCACATTGAGACAGGCGCTTTGCCTTGGGAAGCGGCTGTAAGCTCAAGACAGCTGGCTCTGAGCCAAGGAGGTTTGCAGCATGAACAGGAGAAATCCCGCTTGGTCAGGTAACCTGGGAGACAGGGCTGTTGAGAGGCTAAGGTTGCCAGGCTGGGGGCCAGGGAGCCCAGGTCTGCTGCCCAGCTCCTGACCTCAGGACAGACCTCTACCAGTCAAATTATCCAGCTGCAAGATGCCACACACGCCCCTGCCCTGGTTATTTTTACACTGGCTCTGCAGAGCATGCTACAGCTCAGGAATGCACCCATTCTTTTTCTGTTGATTTCTCTAGTCCCTGCTAGATTGGTGGGGGGGAAAAAAAGATCTTCCAAATGCCATGGCAGTGAACACACAACCCATTCTTGGGGTAGCAATGCCTTTCTCTTTCCCTTCCCAGGGCACTAAGGATGTGAAGACATTCATATCTGGGGACCACTTGGAGATGTTTCAATATGCAATAGTGAGAGGCAGCATTTGGACCCCAGAAGCGCAGGCGCTGGAGTGTCCCACAGTTTCCAGCCAGGCAGGTGAAGGGGGCGGCCAGTTGCCAGGGGTGGGCTGCACACAGATCAGGGGAGACCCCTTTCCCCACTTCCTCCCTTTGGGAGTCCCTGCCAAGGAAGAGAGAAGGGGAACATAGCCAAGAGAAGAAGAAAAAGCCTTCAAATAAGGGTGGGGACCAACAGGGGGGGTCAGGATCCAGAGGAAACTTCCAGAAGCCTTTTGTGACAGCTGTTCCAGGCAAACCAGCTGGATGGGAGGATGAGGCACCCTTGCTCTCTCAAACACCCGAGGAGCAGGTGAAAGTCCACCAGCAGCTAGTCTTGGAGCTATGACTCATTAGTCATGGCAGCGGGGCACAGTAATGTCATCTGTTTTGGCCACAGGCAGGGGACAGTTTGAGAAAGCACAGGGACCAGCTGGAGACCAGTGCTGCTGGTTTACAAGTCCAGTGTAAGTCTGCTGAAGTGTGGAGTGCAGTTTGCCTGGGATCTGGAGCTGGTCTCCTCCGTGGAGGGGCCTCAGAGAGAGGACCCTGCCTCTGTGTGTGGCAGGAGGCTGGACCCTTGGGGTGCTTTGTTACAGGGACACCCCTGCTCCGCCTGGACAAGGAGGCCCCCAGCAGGAGCTCCCACCAGAGTCCCACACTGCCTCCACTCTGGCTGCACAGTACATGGGCTACTGTGGTCAGCTTTCCTCAAACTGTCACTGAGGGTCAGCGAGCTCAGGCGGCTGGCCTTTAGTGCGAATGGTGCCTAGACAGTGCTGGTCAGAGGCCACACCCCTGGATGGTAGGACCACAGGCTAGAGATATGGCCAGTCAAGACACACGCACCTGAAACTCCAGAGAGTGGGGAAGTGGTTCATGGAGCAGACATTCCTCAAATGCTTCTCCCTAAGCTCCAAAAGGGACTGGGACACCACCTGATATGTTCACTATGTTTCCCCAGTATGCCTGGCATACAGTAGGCTCTCAGTAAAAGCTTTTTGAAGGTCAGTGCCTGAAGAACCCTAAGGGAGATCTAGACCAGCATTTTCCAGACTGAATCACCTGGGGAGGGAAGACTTTCTGAATCACCTCGTTGGAGACTGACAATGTACATTTACGTATTCTTGGGACCAGGCTATCCTGACCTAAGGAAATCTGTTTTCCTAGTGTTTCCCCAACATATGTGCTCACAGGATAGTTTCTCATGAATTCACATACTAACCAAGGAATAGTTTTGGAAATGCTGATCTAGTGTAACCTCATCATTCTGCAAAAGAGGAAATGGGACCAGAGAAAGCAAGCTACTTGCCAAGAGTCACACAGTACAGCGGTGGTGGTGGTGGTGAAACCCACACTTAAATCCCCCAGCTCTAGGATCACTGCTGTCCCCACTAAAGGCCTGATTTCCTTGGACAGCGTCACTACTTCTTCAGCCAGGCTGAGCATACAGTTTTCTTTGGGTGACCTAGAAAGCAAGGGCTAGTCTAACAAAGAATCAGATGAATCCAAATTAACCCCGTTGGCAGGGGCAATGTTTTGCCTACTTGAGAACCTTTGGAACCACTTTAGCTTTGATGCATGTGCTAAGTACCTGAGGTTCTTATCTTTTCCTTAAAGCTAGTCCCTCAGGTCCTCTGCTTGGCAATCCTGGGGGCAGATTCCTGATATTGTGTCATTGCAATACCACTGAAGTTCTTTAAAAATTGTCTCTTGTCCAGATGTCCCCCCAAAGCCCTTGGGTTATTTGAAATCAATGAAGATTTGTTCCTCTGCACCTTTGGGTGCTGGGCAGGGGAGTCAGGGAGAGCAGAGGCCAGCCACCTGCTTGTACATCAACGCTGTCCAGCACTTCGGCAGCTGCTACAGGGGCAGGGTCTGAGTATGTTTCCTGGAGACAAGGGTGTGCCCACAGCCTTGCTGGGTTTCTCGGTTACTCCTTCCAGGTGTCTCGTTTCACACTGGGCAGGTGCTGGGCCACCTTGACCCCCAGTCATTGTCCACACTGAGCCTGGAGACCCAGAATCGGGTTAATCAGGAGGCTGGACAGCCCAGTCCAACGTGGTTGTGTTAGAGGAAAGAGGCTCAGAGAGCACATGTGACTTGGTCAAGGTCACCCAGACAATTAGAGCAAATCCGTGGTCACTAAGAGAAAAACAGCTCAGAGGCAGAGAATCTGGGCAAGTCACAGCAGGGCGAAGCCCCCAGCTCCAGGGCTCTGAGAGAGGGCATGCTACTCGCCCAAACTAGTGCCAGGCATTCCAGCTCAGCCTGACACAATTTCCATTCATGGTGGGCCAAGGAGAGGATGCCACGCCCTTCCCTCCTTACCCTGAAGCTGGGGCTGCTGGCTGCATAGCTGCCGAAGTGTTCTTTTCGGGGAGGAGTTGTGCAGGGAGATGACAAGGCTGTCTTCATACCTGCTCAAAGCCTTGAACAAGAGAGCCTAAAGCCGCTTGTGGTGAGCCAACACCCCCTACTGGCATCCTGTCCTGCCTGGGGTCGTGGGGCCATGGTGTTGGTGACTGACAGGCTGGGTTCCTGTCCAGAGGGTGAGAACAGAAGAGTCAGCTGAGCAGCTGATGGGATTTTATATTAGGTCTCCAGTCCCTTCCCCTCCCTTGGGGAGGGGTCCCCAGCTTTTTGTGAGAGCCTCAGAGGGGCTGGTGCAGAGGCGCCCCCCCCTGGGAGACTGCAGCACAGCAGGAGGGCAGGGCAGGGCCCCTCATGGAGGGGGTGGGCTGTGTAGGGATGGGTACCACATGCTGTTGGGGCTGTGTTTTCTCCATACCCAGTGGGTGTTGTGCGGGATCCCATCTGCCCCTCAGCTCCTGTTGAAGACTGGGCCTTTCTTGAGTCTTCATGAGGCTGGGACTTGTGCCAGAGCCCACATCCTCCACAGGTCAGTTTGATCCATGGGTCCGCCCCAGATCTCTCAGAAGGCGGAAGTCTGTGGGGGCTTGACGCCAGGGCTGTGGGGCCGATGGAACCACTTGAGGAGAAGGGGTTAAGGCTTTGGAGAGGTGGGGTGTACGGGGTGTGTGGATTCAATCTGGGGTCCCAAGCTGGTGGGCTTCCTTGGTGAGGTCCAGTCTCACCTCCAGTGGAGTATGAGGGACAGAGGTGACTAGGCAGCAGCCAGGATGGAATCTGAGGCTGCAATGGAGACGGCACAACATGGCATCACATGGTGGGCCCGAGAGAGGGAAGTCCCCAGGGCCTCTCTGTCTTGAAGCTTCAGGAGTCTTTCATTTCATTGAATAAGTCACATCTCCTGGCTGAAACTGCAGCCCCAGATGCACTGCAGCCAAGCATGGTTCTCTGTTGCAAAGAAGGCCCCTTTCCCCCACAGAGCGGCATGGCTAGACAGGGCCCCTGCTGTCCCAGAATGCAGCTGGCATAGGGCGCCTCTCTAGCCCCTCAGCCCAAGTGAACAGAGTCTGCATTACTCCATTCCTGAAAGTGTTTAAATTATTTAAGGTGTTGTCTGGTTTCTCCACTGACTTCTGTGACCACACCTATTCTTTGAGGACTGTTGGTTGCACAGACTGAGGCTTAATTCTAAAACCTCAGCTGGCAGGGTGTCTCCCCTTGTCTTGCCCACCTCTGCTTCTTGGACAGGAGTCCCAAGGAATCTGCAAACTAATATGAAAATATACAAAAGGCTTTCAAGCCCAAAGAAAAGGCCCCCAGGTAACTCTTTTATAAAGTGTTGGGAAGGATGGTTCTCCAGTTGGTTTGCAAGCCGGATTTAGGGGTCCTGGACCATCACCATGGAGACAAGCGCCTGTCCCACAATGCAGCAGGCGGAGGTGGTTTCCCGTTACTCGCAGTCTATGGGTTCGCCCATCTGACCTTACATTTGATCCTCCTCCGGGGAGAACTCAAGTTTAAGTTGTATTCTCTCCCTACCCCCCAATGGCAGTAAACCCTGCATGTCCGGGCAGAAAGGAACCTTGAAACCTTCTAGAGATCTAGTCCAACTCCCTTACGTCACCCTCTGATTTTACAGGTGGGGAAACTGAGGCCCGGACAGAGGCATGGGCTGGCCTAAAGTTGCACAGCCAGGTGGTAGCAAAGTTGGGATTGAATTCAGGCCTCCTGATTGCCAGTCCAGGGCTCTTTTTTAGCTCTTTTTAGCAACTGGTATATTGGCTACAGCTTCAACAATTCTCCCCACCAGGCCCAAATGGTCCCCTCCTTCCCCTCCCCTCCTCAGCCTCCTCCTCCCCTACTACACGTAATTGGGGTTATAGCAGAGCATATTGAACTCCAGGTTCTCGTCCCAGTGTCGCAGGAGCACAAACAGCTGGAGGGCAGCAGCCTTGAGCATGCCCCGTGTGCGGCCCTCGGGCACTTCCTGCTGCTCCAGCCACCAGTTGGCCTTGGCAGCCACAAGCTCCCATTCAACGAAGTAGGAGGCCGAGCTGTGCTCCAGCCATGCCAGCGCCACCACGGTGGCCCACAGCTCCCCCGTGTGTTCTACCACAGCCCCGAGCTCCCAGCTGGGCTTGCCCTCTGCCCGAGGTTCCGGGGAGAAGGTGTCGCAGGAGGGGTGCTGAGGTGAGGGGCTGGTGCACAGCTGGGGGCAGGGGGTCTCGGGCTCAGGCTGGCGGGTGGTGAGGGACGCTCGGTGGCAGGAGAAAGGCGAGGTCCACTTGAGCTTGTCCATGGGGATGTGGATGGCCTCACAGAAGGCTTGGTTGAGCAGGAAGGCTCCGGAGGCCAGCTGCAGAGATACCTGTGTGTGGGGAAGCCCCTCAGTGGGCCTCAAAAGTTTTAGCCCGCGGAGCCCCAGGCCATGGAAATGTCTGGGTCCACGCAGCCCACCCGTTCATTTCCTCCAGCTCACTTTGCCTACCTGGGGGGATCTGTGGTATACCCAGGCCAACTGGGCAGCACCATTCTTTATCCCACAGACACTGGGAACTGACCACTCGCCAAGCCCAAATCAACATCTTCGCTTCAAACCTGCCTCTTGTTCCGGACAGGTGGGCCCAGCTTGACCACTGGCGCCTTGCACTGCCATCCAGCAGGCTCTGGGCAGTTCCCCTCCCTCTTCCGCCCTCCACGCCAATCGCTTTCCAAGGCCCAACAGGTCTGCTTTCTAAACATCCCTGCAGCCCACCATCTGCCTCCTTGTGTTGTCCCTGCCTCTACTTTCCTCCCCTGGCCCCACCCCATCCATCTTTCCTGCATCCTGAGGGGTCTTTGTAAGGCATAGATCATGTCACTCTTTGGAGGCCATTAGTTCAGCAGCTGCAAATTGCTTAGAGTAAGTCCAACCTAGGATTTCCAAAGAGCTGGTTCGTCCTTGACGCTTCCCCCTCAAACCCCTCTCTGCAGCCACCCAGCTCTCTCTCTCCTCTCTAGGCTGCTGGACGTAACTCCTCATCCTTCAGGTCTTGGCTTAACCATTACGTCCTTCAGGAAGCCACGCTTCATTTCGCCCTGACTGCAAGCCCGGAGTAGGCGCCCTGCCCCTGGGTCTCTCCACCAAGCCCCACCTCTCCTATCACAGCACCCATGGATCATAACAGCGTTGTTCCTTAGCTGTATCCCCGCTAGACACTTAGTGCCATGACCTCAGGGACTATGTCTATCTAGTTCAAGGTTGTCTCCCTGGGTCTAGCGCTGGGTGTGGCTCAACAAATCCTTGCTGAGTGAATACATGCCTAGTGCTGTGTTGCCTGGGATATTTGGAAAGGCACTGCGTGCTGGGTGTGCAGGGGCTGGAGCTGTGCAGTGAAGCTCAAACTGTGTCCTCCTTCTGCACCCTCTGATCCCCAAGCCCTGCTGGGCCCCAGATGTGGCAGGGCCACATTCCCTTGCTCCCTAATTCAGAGACGCCCACTCCAGACCTGGGCTTCTCACCCTGCCACAGCATGCTAGCGTGTCTGCAAAGCCACTTGCTAAACATGGAGCATGTCCCTGGGGTGTTAATTTTACTCACCTGTGAGTCATTTCAAGGCTTATTTTTATGTGTTGAAAAACAGACACACATCGATAGTGGAGCAGAAAGCAAAATTCCCATGAATTTTTAAAGTGAAGGTGGCAGTTTGCGAAGAATTTTCATGATGCTGGTGCTGGCTTTTGGCAATACCCCTAGACCCTAGACAAAGAACTCATGCAAACCCCTCTGCCCTGCTGACTACCTGGGCGGGAAGTTCTAGGCCTTTAACCCTTTGTGGGAAGGGGGTGGGTTGGGGTTGGGCTCACAGGAAGTGCAGTGACTGGGGTCACACTGTGCAGTGTCTGGGGTCTGGGGCACTCACCAGGGGGACGTAGTCGAAGCTCTGGCTCCCGGGCATCGACTCTGGAGTCTTGGTCAGAGGCTTGCTCAGGAAGCCCTTGGCCGCTCGAGTCAGTAGCCTGGACTTTCTGAGATTCAGTCTGTGTGGGTGGAGCCAGGGAAAAGTGGCCACAGCCAACCCGGTGGTGTCCCCGGCCATCCAACCCACCCATTGCTCACTCAGTCACCTCTGAAGGTCAGGCCAGAAGGGACATGACAGGTGGCTTCCTCCAACCTCCCATGTGACACCTGGGGAAACTGAGGCACATTTCCCCCGAATCCCTCAGTGAGTTGGGAGCAATGTGGACGAAGCCAGGCTCGTGTCCTTTTCATGACACTCCTTTGATAGCATATTCTTGTTCAGCCCAGTGGTCAGAGTCTCATACTCGCCCTCCCAGGGGGATTGCCTTTGCAAAGAGACCACAGACATGTGGCAGATGCGCCACATGGGGGGCTGGGTTTCAGCAGTGGGAGACCTGGGAGACAGTGACAGCTCTGGGTAGGAGGGCCTTCTTGGCACGGTTCACATTTTCATTTTTGTCTAAATGTCAGGGTGCGTCTGCCGTTGGCCTTCCAAGCCAGGGGCGGCTCCAGGACAATGGGGGGTGGTAGAGTGCACCCTCAATGGAAATCCCACATACCTGGATCCAAAGAGGGTCTCGGAGGCCTTCAAGGAAGAAAGGGTATTGGTGGCCAGACTGTGCAGGGGACCTGGAGAGTCACAGAATGACAGCTGGGGGCTAACAGAGGACCCTGTCCAACTGCTTACAGCCCAGCTGGGGAAACAGAGGCCCAGGGAGGGGCAGGAGCTAGCCTGCATCCCTAGGGATCTGAGCTACTCATTAGGCTGCAGAGCTGCTTCTGACCCAGTAGGAACGGGGAAGGGTGAACTATGTGGGTCCATGTGTAAAAAACAGGCCTCCCAAGTTTCCTTGGCTGGTAACCCCTGGCATCTTCTGGAAGGTTACCTGTGGGGACAGTGACAGCTTCACATCAACCCCTTTTATCCCTGAGTGGGGACATCGAGTTTGCTTCCCTGGCACATTGTAGAATGGTTCCTCAGCTGGAAACTGGGAGGCTTGATTATAGGCCTGGCTCTGTCACTGACTTTTTGCATGACCTTGGGTAAGTCACTTCACTTCTCTGTCTGTTTCCTTTTCTTTAAATTGGGACTATTCTTATGTATCTTGCAAGGGTCTGTTTTGAGGGAGAAATGAACCACTGAGGACTTTGTTGGGCTAAGACCCTCTCCTGGCCCAAGGATCCATCACTATCACTATCTTTATTAAGGAGAGAGCCAGCCGACCGTCCACTTACCTTCGTAAGCAGCGTACTTCTTACAGTCCGGGGACATGGTCTCACCGGAGAACGCACTGGGGCTTTCCGCCACATCTATGACAGAGGAAAACCAGTGAGCCCTGAGCTCCCCTGGCCCTCCCTTCATTCCCTCCTGTCCCCCAAGGAGAGTGATGATCTGAATTCATAGGACCTGAGGGTGGGCTGGCAGAGCAAGGCCAGGAGTTTCGTCCCTGCTTGAATGGGCCTTTGTCTTCCAAAGATGCCACCGTTTCTCCACCATAAGAGTCAGACATGCCTGGGATCCCCCATTGACTAGCTGTGTGACCCTGGGAAAGTTACTTCCTTCATAAGTTTTGATTGCACATTGGGGATAACAGTATCTCTCTCACAGTGTTGTTGTAAGGATTAAATGAGATAATACACAGATAGTGCTTAGTACCTGGCTCGTGGTAAGTGCTGAATAAAGCCCTGAGCTACAACAGACCCATCACAGAAGCAGGAACAGGTCAGGGGCTGAGGGTGAGAGTTGGGGTTGGGTGGGGAAGAGGTGGGCATATGCTCGCCAGGTCTGTGCCTCACTGAGGAGGGGCTCATGCCAGCTCTCCAGGAGGAAGCAGAACATGGCACTGACTTGTCAGAGGGCTCTGAGCCTCAGTTTCCCCATCTGTAAAATGGGGGTAATAATTGCACATAGTTTGTTCAAAATGTGTAATCGAGATGATTATTCTTATGATTATTATTTCAAGGGCTGGAGAGTGATGGGCAATATGCTATAAGGGAATAAATCAAATTATGGAACAAATAGTTCATGAAAGCCCCTGGTCCCCCAGGAGACCATTAGTAGCTCTGTGAAGGCCAAGAAGCTCTGTTTGTCATTGGGTGCTCGGTGGGGCAGCCTGGGAGTAAACTAGTGACTGAATGCCTGAGGCAACTAGGAGGCAAATAGCGTGGTGGTTAAGCTCATGGACTCTGGAGACAGACATTGCCTGGGTTCAAGTCTTGGCTCTACCATGTATCAGCTGTGTGATCTTGAGGAAGGCACGTAACCTCTCTGAGCCTCAGTTTCCTTATCCCTTAATGGGAAAAAGAAAAGAAACCACCTCAGGTGATTGTGAGGAGTCATGGATCATTGGGACAGTGCCCAGCACTCAGAAAACTCTCAGTACGTGTTAGCCATTGTCACCTTTGGGGAGGGAAAGGGATTGGGATAGACGAAAAGCTTAGAAATTATAGACACTTGGATCTGAATCTGAGGATAATTGAAAAGAAGGGATCTTTGATTTTTGATGGAAGGCATGGGACGCTGAAAGCTGAGCTACGGAGAAAGAAAAGAGAAGAGCAGACATTTCCTCTAGTCTGGAAGCTCAGCCTGGCTCTCAGGGAGAGCAGGCTTCCTCAGTTTTGGAGGCTCTGAAGGAACCAATGAGTTGGCAGAACTCTTTAATTCTAAAGAGCTCTTCCACCTCATCCTTTTTTAACCCATCAATGTCTGTGAGAACTTTCTATTCCCTCAGGTAAAAAATTGTTATGATCTGGGTGTCTGGGCTAGCGGCCAGGTGTGACCTCTGACGTCCTTCCTCCCCGTGCACAGAAGAAGGCAGGAGGTCCTCACTGTACACGAGGGCAGGGAGGGAGAGGTTAGGATTAGTGCAGCAGTTAGGCTGTCTTTAGAGGGACAGAAAGACGTGCAGACATTCAGGACACAGAGGGTTAAAGCCATCCTGTGAATTAGTGCATGGTTACAAAAGGTCAAATCATGGATCTTCAAGGACCCACGCTGCAGGCACAATGAAATCAGGTGAAGGCAGAAAGGAAGCTGTTGGGAATCCTGAACGAAGCAGATGGTGGCATCTAAACAGATGGACCTGCCTCGTTGCTCTTCACTTTTCCCCTATTTATTAGGTTTCCTGGCATTTGGCACCTGGGAGGGCTCAGAGGTTGGAGGCAGGGAACAGCCACTGGGGTTGGTGGACCTTCAAAGGGAAGCGGTGAAGGGATGGCTCGGGCAAGCGGGCACGGAGGCCATGCTGCTCTCTGGTTCTGGGAGGCTCTCTCAGCAAAGCTGGGTTCATGGCGGCAGGCGTGGGCCATGCCACGCCCCTCTGCCCATCTCAGGCCTCAGGGAGCCTGGAAGGCCTGGTCTTGCCCAGGCCCTGTAAGGGCCCAGAGTGCAGACTCAGAGAGGCCTCCAGGGTCTTGGACACGAGGGTCCTGTGACTCAGGCCCCAGGCTTCAGCACATGCCCGAGGTGGCTCTTACTTAGGTTCTGAAATTTGCCATCTCCTGCTGCTGAGTCTTCCCCAAGCACGGTCTGGGACTGTCCGAAGCCAGCAGAGGCACCCTTCCACTGTCGGGTCAGGACCCGAGAGCTGACCATCCGCAACGCAGCACCTTCATGAGGACAGGAGAAGGGGTCAGGGTGGGTACAACTGTGCCAGTCCTCTGCCTCTTCCCCAAGGCTGGCAGGAATGATTCTGACTTCAGTCTGTTAATTAGTCAAAGACAGGAAGGCAGTGGCCAAGGTAAGACCGGAGCTTTGGAGCCAGGATGACCTGGGTTTGAACCTCAGGCCCATCTTTTAGTAGGTGGATGGGGTGCTAACCACTCTGAGCCTCAGTTTCCATATCTGAAAAATGGGGATAATAATGCCTACCTTGCCAGGTAAACACTACTGTTGAGATAATGTTCAGAAAGCCGCAGTGTTTTCTAGTTACGTAAAAAGCTGGCTTTCTTAGGAATACCCCACTTTTTTTTCTTTCCCAGTATGCTGCCTCAGAGACCCAGGTCCCACTTCCCCCTTCCACAGGCAGGTCCCTGGAGCCCCAGTGGGGCATCACCAATGGGGGTGGATGGAAGAGAGACACAGCTATAGCACCTTAAAGTGTTTTGGGGAATTGCACTCTCAGAGAACACTCATCTGCAAGTTATCCCTTAAAAAATGAAGAGTTATATTGGGAAATACATTTTGAAGAAGCTGCATGCTATATAGTCCATTCACTGAGCCTCTTGATGTACATTAACATCCTAAAGGCTCTGAGAAGTTCTGCAGTAGAGAAAGCTGTTGAGCTTTATGCAGTTCAGTGGTTCCTAAAGGTTCCTTCCTGATCTGGTATTTCCTATTTTTGTGCTGAATGGCCATGAGTGGGACAGGGAACTAGGGTTCTAGTTTCCGGGAACACACTTTGGAAAGTGCTGGTCCAGATCTCAGTGGACTGTGGGACTTGGGTTTAAGATAGATGCCAGGTCCCCAGACCTCCCAGACTGGGGCTACAGACACTAGGAGGATGGTCAGAGGTGGGTGGGAGGGAAAGACGTCCCGAATGAGCATGTTACTCAGGATGACAATGCCCCAGGAATGAGAACGGCCCGTGGAGCAACAGTCAAGGCTGCTGGCCAGAGCCTGAAATGAGAGCAACTATAGGAGAGAGACAGGGAAGGGATGGGTCGTTGATAATTTTGGTATCACAGATAAACAAAAAAGTGCAGGGGACAGGAGAAATGAGGAAAGGCAAATTTTGCTTCCACACACAATTCTTTCTGGAGGTCTGAAAGAGAGAGAGGGAGAGAGGGAGAGAGAGAGAGGGAGGGAGGG